GTCCAGTAAAGATCTCCGGGAGAAACCACCTTTGGGGTACGCAGCACTTAGAGCATATACGTCTCCTTAGTATGGATGCAGTCAGAAAGCGCTAATACGGTCAGAAAAGAAGAATAGCTCAAGGCAAAGTACGGAAATGGCCATCCATTGAAAGCAAACAGAGACCAAGATGAGAAAAAGACAGGGTAGAGTTGAGAAAGGCTTTTACTGAAAGATTGGAAAAGTCAACGAGGCGTTCGAGGACAGCCGAACCAGGGAAGGTAACGTCACATAAGTCTGAGCGCATTCGGAGAACAGGAGACTGATACAGCGAGACTGGAGTGGTCAGCGCGTTGGGATTGTAACTTACGATAAAGGAAACAAAGAGGCTGGAACGAGAAATAGTGAACAAAGCTAGCTGGGTGTAAAGAAAAGGTAGAGTTGAGTCCGCAGCGCCTGCACCGGTGAAGCCACGGTTACAAAGGAGTAGTTAGAGAGAAACAGACAGGTTAACTGAGACTACGTCACGGTAGGGCAGTAAAGCTGGTCGGCCACTTGGAAAAAAGAATGAAAGCAGAAAGCGATATAAGAAATGTTTAGGGTCGGGATGAGAAATGTGTACTGATAAAGAGTGGAAAGCCCACGAGACTCTCCAGATAATGTAACCAGGTCCATTAGGCCCGCCGAACCAAGAGCATTGATGTTGCAGCAATCTATACGAAATAACGAGTGAACAATTCTAGCAATCCCACAAGGTAAAGGTAACGGCGTTAAGCCGGTAGAGCCAATACACTTTAAGCCTCGGTGGGATAAGGGCAGTCAGAGGGAAACAGACTGGTCAAGTGAGGCTTGATCACGGTAAGCCAGCGAGAGCCGGCCATCTGTTTAAAACTGATGAAAGCAACGCGTTAAGCAAACATTAGAGTCGGGATGAATAGGGTTTAATGATAAAGGGTGGGGAAGCCGACGAGGCTATTCAGGTAATGTGAACAGAAACATTAGGCCAGCCGAACAAAGAGAGGTAGTGTCGCGGAGGTCTATGTGAAATCGATGAGTCAGAGGCAGGCCAGGTAGGGCTGGATTAGTCGTCGTGATGGGATTAGGACGAATAATAAGTTAGTGAAAAATGACAATAACAATAAAAGGTGATCAAGTCTGGCATGCTCCAAAGGTAAGGGAAACCTGGCGCTGAGTATGCAGATCCTATACCGATTAAGCCTCGGTAGCATGGGTGCAGTCAGGGAGAAAAAGACTGGTCAGGTGAGGCCAGATCACGGCTGTGCAGTAAAACTGGCCGTACGTCACAACGCTGCGCCGGTTCCGTTTAGGTTCACAGTAACACGCGTCGTCTTTTAGAACTTGGTCCAGTGTGGTCTAGCTCGTGTCTCACTAGGCGTGTCTGAATAAGGCACACGCGACCGCACGTGCTACAGCACATGCCACATAGATTCATATACACATACGCACAAAGGTCCAGTATATTGCTGGTAATTTTACTAAGTTCGAACAATTTTGTCGCTCCTGTCGGTATTGTTGCGATCACGCCTATCAAGGCATGCTTCACATTGTCGAGAATAAACTTTAGTTATTTATGTATTTAAAGAAATTTTACGCTGTAACCAAACCAACACTGGCAGGTATCATACAGTGGCTTCAACGACAACATTCCTAACAAAAATATTCACTTATTTCAAAACCTTTATCTTTAGATGTATTTACGTTGACTTCACGAAAGCGGTTGACGCCTTACCCCACTGAGGTTAGTTGGATGCACTTATTACCGGGTGTCCGTATTCATGCAGAGAAGAAAATAGTGTGTACGCCTAGGCCGCTAACAAATCACTTTGCAGGCGGTATATAGCGGTGTCCCACTGGACTCGATCGTTCGACCGCTTCTGTTCTCATCCTACTTACAGGATCTCCGCTGGGAGCTTAGGGCATCATCGCACTTGTTTGCTGAAAATCTGAAGCTGTGGAAAGTAGTAGATATCCCTGGGGATCCAGAAGCCATTCAGCGAGCCATGGAGAGACTCTGGGGCGTCTACTTTGTGGCTGCTGCCCATTATTCGGGCTGTGTTCCGTCCTTCGTGTAAGAACAAGGTTCCCACCGTCGAGGCACGTGCTCAATGGGGCCGTCCTCCACTGCCTCCAACCAGGAAGACAGGCACCATCCACTAGTCGCCATTGCATTCTAGGGCCCACTACAAGAGCACTGCAAGTAGTGGTTTCAGAACCTTGTGGTTAATAGGCCGTTCCTTCGAAGCCTTACCAGCCAACGTCTTTTGTGCGGCTGTTCAGTGCTTTCCATCGGCCCTACTTAAAATGCTGTCTAGAGGCCTGCCCGACCTGCTACGTCCGGGTCAAAATGGAGTTCGACAAGTTCTTGCGAGCGTGCACCATGATTGTCGAGGTGTTACGTGGACGTGCGTCCCTGTGCCTCTACTAAGTTTGTGTATGTATTCAGTGCAATACCAAAGGCTGTTGGGTCACCAAGTTTGCCCTAACCTTATATTAAATGGATAGGTACTAAGGGATTTAAGCTGCACATTTAGTCCTTCTGGGCTGCTCTGGCTTTGTGGTCATTTGATGAAGTCAAATCTTAGTAAGCTTTATGTACTAAGATGGATTTATTTGCAGCCAGTTTCAATATCAAAGCAAGTTAATTAAAATGCCGTTTTCAAGAAATGCAATCCTTTATGTAGGGACATAAAAAAGAGAAAAGCGAGCATTGGCGTCGTTCGTGTATAAGGATCCGCGATCTTCAGCACTACGTACCGAATGATTAACTAAATAAATAAATAAATAAACTTTTATTCTCGACCATGCGAGACACACCTTTACAGGCGTGATCATGTTTGGCTAACAGTGTGATCAATAATGTACAAAAGTACAGGTTTGGCATAACAGTGTATATAAGTGTACCGGTGTATATACGTATGTAACTGTGTATAAATGTAGCTTGTGTCTTTGAATGTGCCACAGCATTTTTGACTGTTTGTTGTCGTCAGGAATGTGAGCATAAGCGATTGATGTCCTTGGGTTGGATAGCACTTTCCGGATATCCACGGGCCAGTGACTTTAGTTTGTGGCGAGTCACGTCCGCCACGTCGCAGTGTTGATAAGCAGACATTTGTAGCTTTTTATAGGGAGAACGCTTGCCAGGCGAAAACCCACCACGTCCTGGAACACTGCTGCCGAACTATTTGCTGGAACGAATTAAACCCGAACCACCCAGTTGGCACCACGAGGAGGTTGTTCGGCTAGCCAGCCACTTGTCGTTTCCAGCCAACAGATTATAGTCTCGTAAAAACACTTCTTTTTATTTGAGTTCAACTAGTCTAAGAGTGCGTGAGGAAAAGCAACAGACAACGAAAATTAAAAGATACCTTGGCTACGTATTTAAACTATCTGTCTTGTTGACGTTGCACACACATTGGGCAACATGCTGTCAGACTATCCCTGTAAAGCTTTTTACATCCGCAGTATATAAAGTACAGGCGATGTTCAGTGAAAAGACGACGACTAAGAACGGGCCGGCTTTCTGAATAAGGGCGGAAACTAGGTTGTCGCTTAGAGTTGTGGAGTGTAGCTTGGTTGAAAGCCATCTTTCTATACCTTAAAAAGAAAGAGATCGCTGCTCAGTTATAAGATAGCTATGGTTGTTTCTTCTTCCGTTTGCTCCCCACTCCCGCTTACGTCTAGCTCGATCTCTTATTAAGTGGTGGTCATAATACAATCCAACCACGCAATAAGCAGCTACTTTCTTTTAAGCCCCACCAGTTGTTGGTGATGAACGCTGTCGCATCCTGAATCCCAATGCAATACACTCGACGGACATGCAGCCATTTCAATCTCACTGAGTTCGGTCCTGAACCAGGGACGTTACCTTTAGAGGGTTGCCTATTCCGGGAGCCCAGAGAGCGATTCGAGAAGACAGATCGAGTTGCAGGGAAACTTCTATTGGTACAGTAAAAGATTCCCTGTTAGCTAGCTATAAAAGAACGACACCGTAGACGCTCTAGCTAGGGGAACGGATCAAGCACAGCACACACAGCAGTCGCGCGTTGCAACCGAAGCGAGCGCCAAGCAAAAATGGCGATGAGCAAGTAAAGCATTCGAACTCAGCAAGCAGTTCAACAAACCACACCGGTTGCCTAAGTGTACAATTATAGACTTTTGGTTAGAATTTTACACAAGCAAACCGGGGAATCTCCAGACTGCTACAACCTGATCCCACTAGGAGCATTACAGGCTACAGGTCAAAGGTTTCGAGCGCAGTTCATATCCTCATAGATGGCACAACGAACACATTCCTTTCTGCCGAATGTAAACGTTTCTACCATGATTTATACTAATGATATTCGTCGGTCGTGGGTATCCTCCTCCTGGTAAATGACATTCCTTCCTCTTTTTCTTGTAGATGGTTCCCAAATCTTTCTTACCTCACTCAGACGGCACAGCAAGGCTGCTAGCGCAGGAAACATGGGCAGTATATTCTTGACCAGAGCATTGTTCGGGTATTCCGCATTAGATCCAGTAAGACATTTTCATGTCTTATCATTCCAAAGCTCAAAGCTTCATTCAAAAAGGAGCACACAAGGAATTTTGCTATCGTGCATGTGGTTTCCCGTCTCTAGACAACAACAAGAAAATAATCGTTTCATTTATAATGATCTACATCGTCCTACGTATGCCGTATTTGTGTTAGTTCAAAGGATGATAAATACTTTAACTGCATGACAGCACATGGCCTCTCTCAAGGTCCTTTGACTGTCGCTCTTTCTGACGGTTTTGGACTCCGTCAAATACGCGGATGGCGGAAACTTGAAATCATGGTATGATGTTTTAGACCTATCAATGAAATTCCTAACTGGGTCTGAGATTTGTTGTCAACCTAGCCACAGCGACACCTTGTTTTGCGCTAAGCTGATTTATAGTTAAGACTTTGTTGCAGATGTATACTCTTCGAGGTTGGCTCTGCACGAATTGGGGACTAATCGTGTTAGTGTTCATATATAACCGTAACCCAAACCTTAACTTCGGAACCTTAGCGCCCACGATATCAAAAATCAATTTGTATGATATGTTTCTACTGCAAAATAAATAGAACCTAAATCCAATCACAGCTGCAGTTCTTACCCTCAACTCGACAGCGCCAGTATTCCCCGTACTCATGGTTTTTTATACCCGCGAATTTTACTGGACCAAGGATTCCTGAGGTGTGTTGCTTTGTCTGCTATTTCGGGGACGTTAATTCAAACTGGAGAGATCTAATTCAAAAAGTGGGTACTTGCCATTATTCCTATGTATTATGTGATAAGATTTCCGGTTAGGATGGTGGTTTTGTGCGCCTGAAGGCGCTAATGCAATATGATAAAATGGAACCTGGCAAGGTTCAGACCGGTGTCCCCATTATATGTTACATTACTCAAGCTGACAGCACTGTTCTTCAAGTTGAAGTTGAGCATCGCGCCAAAGCACAAGAGGTGCTGGACAAGGTGACATTTTAATTCGCTTGTTATTTGACTTTGACCTTTAGATTTGTCGAATGCTCGGTATAGTTGAAGAGGCGGAGTATTTCGGTGTACAATATATAGGAGGAAAAAATGAGCTGCTCTGGCTCAACAACAGAAATCGACTATCAAGACAGATTTCTTCCCAGCCACCCTATCATCTGTACTTCAAAGTCAAATATTACGTCCCCCCTGAGGATCTGCTTCTTGAGGGAACAAGGTAAGTGAAATTACCTGAATTTCCTTATTACGTCAGGCACCAATTTTACATTAATGTTGTACATCAGCTGAAGGAAGGTTCTTGGGATTCGGATACCTCTTTAAGTGTGCAAGCTCAATTGATCGCCTTGATGGCCTATGTGCAGTTTGGTAAATTCAACCAGAACACAACCCCATGCAAATACGCCTGTTTTTGGCCGGATTCTAGAGGAGAAATATCTTCGGAGGCTCTGCGGCTGGCTGCCAACTTTCATCGCTCTCTTGATGACTTTACGGTTTCTCACGCACAATACAGACTATTGAAGACTACGTACACAGATGTGCCCTTTTACGGAATGTATTTTTATGAGATCAAGGATATTTTTGAAAAGCGGTTGCTGCTCGGGGTTGGGCCGGAATATCTGGCATTGTGTAACTCACACTACTCGTTGGAAGACAAGTAAATGGTTTTGATGTGTCTTCCTTTCATATAATGGGATGTTGCCCTTATCGGCTTGCCATCCGCATATGTTCGTTTCATTCTCTATCCTTATCATTTGTCTTACTATTATTATTATACACGTTAACCAGAAGTGGAGACATAGTCTTTGTGCCGAAGTACACGAGGAAAAAATAGACGCAACACGGGCGGACCATTCGAGCCAACAGTAAAGGAGGGACCTCGTTCCGGAGAGATAGTTGCCAGCTATTGTGTCGTAAAAAAGTTTTTATGCTTCAGGAATAAGATCGTGATTAGATGATGAGGTTTAGCGGGAGGGGATACAGAAACTCAACCAAACCGTAAGTTAAATCGGCTCCTAGCAATGGCAACAAGTGTATCCACACAAATCTCTTCATCATCTTTCGGGCCCCAAGCAGGGAATCGTGACGCTCCAATCGAGGCAAAATACGAACTCAAGGCTTGCTTTCTCTTGACCATATTGTCAGTTGGTCTCTTATTCTTAGTTTCATTTTCCACTACATCACAAGAAACAGATTACATTGACGTCTCTATACGCACTAGTTATTCGCGAAAGTAAGGACCGAATTTGCTTGTAATCATCTTTTCTGTTCCGTTTTATGGTATGACAAAAACCTTGGCAGTGGAACCACAGTTTGTCGACAGCAACAAAACCTGAGTTGTTGTTTGTTAACGTGTGTGTTACTTTAAACTCCAGCGCAGCGTGAACACCTAATTTTCTCTTTTGTATATGTGGAATGCCTAGTAATACTGACGAGTGTTCGTTTAGTTGCTGCACCTTGATACCTAGGATTAGTTCCACTTAGCTGGACTTTTCCTTTTTGGTTGTTCACTTTACACTGAGTTAATCTGAACAGCCTTTCTCAGTTTTCTAGATTAACGGTTTATATTTCTAATACTTGCTAGCTTCTTGAGGTTAATTTGCTTTGTTTTCCCGTGAACCCAAACCCTTTTGTACCATTTGGCTTCCGATGGGCCCGTTTCCATTACTTATGGAAATCCAAGACTTGATTTACCATTGACTACCTACAACATGGCCGACGGTGTCGCCATGAACAGTTACCCTGAAGGCCTTTATAGTATATATCTTTCCACGATTTAAAAATGTGGATCACTACTGATTTCCATTCGCGAGACCTGTTTCTCACATCACTTTGCTTTACTGATAATGTTGCATTTCAATCCTTATTTCACACGAGATGGGTTTAAAGAATTTCGACGCACATTGTCCACCGCAAATGTCGTCGCGTTTCATGATACGTTCAGTTTTGCAGCTTTTGTGAACTATCATTTGCGAGTCTGCTCACAATTGCAAAGACACTTACGTAGAATGAACTGCTTGTTGATTGACTTGCAGGAGAGATCAACATTTTCGATTTACTTGTATCAACCTATAATGCAGCAAGTAATCGTCGGTTGTCATGCGCCACACGGTAGCTCCTCATGCTGTGCCGTTGGCGATACTATCTTAAGCACATAAGTAGTTGGGTTTTACAAGTCGGCCTTTACTGAAGCTAGTCGGAGTGATGGAACCAACGCGTTGCGCATTGAACCCATTAATCTAATCGATTTGATTGCTCTTCTAAAGTATTTCACTTGCATCAAGGTTTGTTTATGTTTTTAAGTTACCCTCATTTTTAATGCACCAGTGAACTAACTGGGTGCTTTTTGTAGCCGACAAATAGCAGCTTAGGTTTTCCGTGTACGTTGGCAAATTTTTTGAAAGAGGTTGTTGCAGTATTATATTTCTTTGACATCTACTCTGGCGAGTAGACTGGATCTCGACGTACATCAGCGATCCATTAGGTCATTCTTGGTAGGAACTTTCAAGCGCTACAACAAACTGCCTCAGTGCTTCAGATGTGCTTGACTGTGTTATACTAATCGGAGGTTGAGAAGAGATAGATGGACCTACAGAAGTACCCATGGTAGGCAAAATTCACGAGTCATAAAGTCACTTGGATTGATTTAGATCACAAGCGCTACGGTTTGTCCTTGAAACTGAGAATGTGCCACCTGTACCCATTGGTTCGATACCGTTCGCTCCCAACAATTTAGCCTTTGGTCAGTAGGGTACTGACCTGTCAAATACTACCTGTTAGCTGTGATGGAAAATGAACAATCTGCTATGATCAAAAAGCATACACGAGTTTTACTGTCTTTTCGAAGAGCGTATGTGAAGGTTCAAGCAAGGTGTCAATAGGATCGTGCAGTCGCACTCCAGAGCTGGAGTTGCTCCCCACCGCCTTGCGAGATAGACTATCTAGCCAAAGGTCAGCCGTGCCATAATTCGGAAAGTGCTTCTCGAACTGTATGGTCGGATATTACCATCTACACAAAACACCGTCGTTAATGCCCTAGATTTTGCTTTTATCCTTACAGCACTCTTCGATTGCTGAACAACAGACTCTGACTGACTACGCAATTGATACTCATGCTGCACTTACACCGTCATTTGAATTAAGCGATTGATTTCGTTTTGAAAGTAATAAACCTAGAAACTTGTCTAGTAGGTATAACTATCGGAATCGACTACGCCAATGGTTCTTTACTGGTAGTGTCAACGGCGCTCTTACGGTTAATTTCTTGCTTCCAACCTTATCACGTTTAATTGCTCTCTATCTTCTGTTTCTTGGGTCTTGTCGAGGTTTTACCTCATTTTCTTCTATGTTTTTAATTACTGTGGCCTTGTCGATGCGAGCCGTGGTGACTGTATCCACTATATTTCCGTACCCTATTTACATAAGTATTTTACTTCTCGTCGTTTCTCCACGTCATTGCTAAGCAGACCTGCCTTCACTTCGTTTCCTGCCCACCTTCGAATGATACCTACATTCATCTTGTTTGCAATGAAGCATCTACCTGCAGCAGTTTAAGCATGCATAACCACCAATGCTACCTTTGAAGCTATGCTTATAGTTCTGGCTGTCTTCAGTTCTATCTTACTCAGTAAACATGTGAACACATCAACAACCACAAGAATTCTCTTCTCTGGAAACATTTACAGGCGTTACATTTTTCTTGGATACTAGTTAGGATGAGTTTGAAATTGAGTTTTCAAGCCGTCTTGCTTGTCTTGAGCACCTCATCCAGTTTATCAGTCTGGAATAATTTTCGAGGTTAAGATGGTTCAAAACCCGTAACTTGACGTAATGTGGTAGTTCTTACAGTCTTCCTTGCTACTTTGGCCTATTCTTAATGATCCTTCCTAAGCATGTTTGGAGCCCCCATAACCGAAAACGTCAGGGGCATAAAGGCCTCAGCGGTTCGCGGTACATAGTACCGAAGCTTTGCTGCCGCGCAACCACCACCGGTCGCAAGTGGGCTAAGGATACTGCGAGGTTCGCTCTGCCACTACACAGTATCGAACCCTTGCTGTCAAATTACAAGACAAGCACGTTACTTTTAGGCTTTGGGCCGGTCAATTAGTGGTTAACGGTTAAGCGATTTACAAATGCAGTTTTACGAGAGGGTTCAAACATAATATATCAGCACTTTTTAATAAACGCTATGCTCCATATGAAGTTGACAGATTACCAATCACCAATTTGCGTAGGCGCATGAGCCGCTGGGCTTAACACTTTCACCGTCAGTTCAGTAGGCCTTTTCCTTTAACCTGTCTAACAAGTGTGCTTCAGTACACCCCTTGGAACTTTTCACTGGAACCATCCACTAAAACAGTGGTCTGCCTTCAGCTTCCTCATTTAAAATGATTCAACGCTGCTGCTCAAGCCGGCTTCCTCCGTAGCTATTCTAGTACAATGGCGAGGCAATTGCCAACCAGTTAACGGCTCTGTTATCCAAACTTTGATATGAAGAAGAGGTGTCGTCTTTTCGGGGCGGGTCAATCGCCCTACCGATGTTTAAAAAAGGCGCATACACTACAGTGTAATCAACCTATTACCCGTCGCCTTCATATTTTTAACATCCCTTCTACTCTGCAGGCTAACAATGATTTGAGAATTAAACTGCCGTGAAGAATAGGCCAGTTTACGCTCCGGTATAGGGTGTGTAGACCACGCTCCTCTAACTTCTCAAGCAGCGTCACCTTTACCACAAGTTTACCATTATCACCTTTTTGGATGTCCGAGCTGCTTTCGACTCGATCGATCGGCTGCTTTATTGCGCTCTCTTAAAAGAATGGGGTACCCCAAAAGTTACACCACTATCTCTCGAGTATTAGCCAACTATGACAGATTGAGGGTTTCCGTAAACTGTCTTCACCTTTCGCCGTCACTAGCGATGGGCGACATAGATACGCTGCGTCCCCGATTCCCTTCATTTTTGCGATTGAGGACGTCCTGTTGAGCACTTTGGAAAGTCTCAAGTGTTCTGGCGTAGAGCTTTTTCCAAGCAACCGCGCGACTAACTTGGACCATACTGATGCTATTTCCTTGCTTGATGATGACAAACAGATCATGCAGGTCTATCTAAAGCGCCTGGTGACCTACGTTCTGTCAAAATGCCAAAAATCCTACTCCAGGATTGGCATCTAACTGCCGCAGTACCCATTATTGAAGGCGTACAGCTTGACCAAGTGGAGAGCTTTATCTACCTTGATAACTGCATTTCTGCTGATGGCACCATTGGAAGAGAGGTTTCGCTTCGTATTGCCGAAGCCTGGTCAGCTTTTGCTAATCCGAGGCATCTTTTCGGTCGTCGTGACGTCTCACTCTCGGTAAATGGCAGGATTTACAATGCGTGTCTGTGCGGTACTGTTTCGTAGAAGAAGAAAGGCATCAGCAGTACGCCAGTACGCAGTACTGACGCCTTGTTGCCGCGTAACCACCCACAGTCGCACCTTAGCTAAGGTTGCTGCCATGGTCGCCCGGTCCTTACACAGACTAGAACCCGTCCCCTCGGGTTTGTGATCCTTAATGCTACTGGTCAGCAATTGTTATGTTAAGTGAACCATGGCGAGACCTGACTTGTTCGTGCCGATGACCTGCGCCGACTATCTCTTCGCGCACCGTTGCCTA